GCTGTGGTGTGAAACATCTGTGGCCAATCTAGCTACAGAAGGGTAAGTGTGGCACTCCTGCACCTGACATACCAGCAAAACTTAAAGCTAGTACTAAAAAAAAATCTGTTCTTCGGCGTGACAGCTGCAGCCAGCTGTTGTTTCTGGAGACTCCAAGGAAGCAACACATGACACCGTCCTCACGGGAAGCTAGCCGGGCACAAAGGCTGGAGACAGTCGGAGCATTTAAATAAATGTGTGATTCCGCTGAGAAGAGTTACCTTCATAATCTGCAGCTCGTCTTTGTTTTCCACAGCCTCACCACTCTTCTCCTCTTCCGCCATCTTTGCGTTAGAGCATGGAGCAGCAGCAAAATCTGACAGCGAGCTGGAACAAAATGCACCAAGTTACTTAATAACTATTAGATATTAGTCTATACGGTATGTTTGCTGCCACAGAAAGGTAATTTCTTTAAGGAAGCATCGCGAGTGCAGTCTGCTTCAGCACAGCGGAAACGGGCTTTTAATTTCGGCGACGCCGGAAATTGAAGTAGTCCGTACTGAAAACGAATCCGCCTGGAAAATTAACAGATGAAGTTTAACGTGATGACTGATTTAGGTACCAACATACCACCTTCGTAGACTAAGATATATATGTATTATATTTTACATCATATACCCTCAATCCTAAAACCACGACAAATCACTACGAAAGCGGAACGTTTGATCCCAATCAACCCGTGTGCTACCCGACACACGTTTTCGTGTTGCACCGTACCCGCTTCCCTCCAAGGGTGGACTGGATTCAACTTTTGTTTAGTTTCCCGGACACTCGGTGCTCGGTGAGGCCAGTATTGGTGTTTTTCCTGCAGCTGAGTCCAGCTCGTCATGTCGGACACATGGAGCAACATCCAGGCGCACAAGAAGCAGCTGGACTCTCTGCGGGAGAGGCTGCAGCGACGGCGGAAAGACCCGGCTCAGCTGTCCGCCGGTAGGTTCAGGCCGGGCAGTGCCCAGCTAACGCTGGTATTGATACCAAAGGGGTAGTTCCCCCCATATATTTAACTTTACGTATCTTAACTCAGGTCTGCAGCGCTTTGCAGCCATCTAGACTGTGTAAGCTGCCGTGTTATGGCGATTTCGTTTTCCTCTGGTGCGCTAAGCGCCAAATTACAAATAGAAAAGCTTACTAGAAACAAGGAAAGAAGGGGGGCATCCACTCACGTTTCTGTGAGTGGTTTAATTAAAGAACGTAATATAGTTATTACTATGTCTGAATTACACCTTTCAACCATATCACTGGTGTCACTGACGGTGTGGCAAGATGTAAATAAACATCAGTGGGTCCCCTCTCAGCTGAGATCAAAGTTAGTTCACTGCACACACGCCACCCTCTCCATCCTGCCTGCACTCTCTTCTTCAAGTCTCTTGTCTTTTGCTTTGATGGTGTATTAAGTTAATTGGGGGTTTTAAATCGGATTCGAAGCGCTTAACGTGTATAGGATAAAAATGATTGTGTGTGTCGGTGCTCGGTAAATCTTGAAAAGCACAGAAATGCACTCCAGTCCATTCATTTAGTAGCTGATTTAATTGAGCGAATTTGCCTTCGCTGGCAAAAGGGGAACTGAGTTTTATCAAATGAAGGTGGGGTTTTACTCGGTTGCTGTTGGAAACTAACAAAATACTGTGTTCATTCTTGCTAAATGTGATGCAACAATGACATTATTATCTATATTATTGATCAGTCAGGTATTTTGATACAGATAACCAGTAAATTTAGCTCAGAGTATCCAGCAGTTGTAGTAATTTGCTATAAAGCTGCCTAAGCTCATTTGCTTTGATGCCATGCTGGGGATGTAGCAGTGTATATCAACAGTACAAGCGCTGGAAAGGAAGAGGACATTTACCGATGGCAGTAATTGATATGAGCTGAAAAACTTTAAAGCAGTTCTGCTGTTTCACTATGAAGATTTCCCTAATTCCTCAAAACAAAAAGGAGTAACAAACAACAACAAAAGATGATTCTTGTACCATTAAATTAAACAACTATTTTTATAATTACTTAACCTTTTTATCTAAAAGTTATGAAACGTTTCAGGAATTTAAAATTGGAAATATTGACAATTTTCTCTGAACTTGATGCTTCATCCTTTGTTGTCGCCTCAGATGGTGGTGGCAGCACAGACGGCACCACAGTCAGGAGTGACAGCCCTGCCCCAGCAGCTCCGTCCACCTCGCAGGAGGAAACAGAAAAACCACCAGACCCTGAACTGGAGAAGAGGCTGCTGGGATATCTGTCTGATCTGAGTCTCACACTGCCAACAGACTCCCTTTCCATCACAAATGAACTCAACAGTGTGAGTTTTTGTCTCCGGTGCTCGAGTTATCCTTGAACTCAGTGATGTGGGTTTATTTTTGACATCTCGGTTTTGTTTGCTTCTCGTCACAGTCAGAAACAGCCATTAGTCACGGCTGCATCCAGAGCCTGCTGCTTAAATTCTCTGCTCAGGAGCTCATCGAGGTCCGAGAGCCCACCTCGGCTCCTTCTTCTTCTACAACTTCCTCCTCCACGTCAACCCCCACGGTGGTCGTAGCTGTGGACCACACAAAACTTTGGGCTATGATTGGATCTGTAGCTGGAGCCCAGAGAACTGGAGTCAAGAGAAAAGCAGAAGACCAAATGCACAGCAAAAGGGCTGCAGGCTTCTCGCCCTCGCTTCAGAGCTCTGCTTCTCCTCCTCACTCGTCAACCACATCGCTGACGCCGGCCTCCTCCTCAGAGCCGGGGCCTTCGGCGTCAGGGAGCGGGACGGAGAAGAAGGGCAGGAGCAGTAAAAGCCAGTCGTCTCATTTGGACATGGAGATCGAAAGCCTCCTGAACCAACAGTCCACCAAGGAGCAGCAGAGCAAGAAGGTAACAGAGGGTTTTTGTTGTTGTTGTTGCTGTTTTTGTTTCTTTTGTAACTGATTAAAAATCGGCGTTTCATTACTGCTGCAGCTATCATGTGACTCTCTTTCGTATCCAGTTAAGCCGAGAGATTCTGGAGCTGCTGAACGCCAGCACAGCCAAGGAGCAGTCCATCGTGGAAAAGTTCAGATCCCGCGGCCGAGCTCAGGTCCAAGAGTTCTGCGATCATGGGACCAAAGAAGAATGTGTTCGCGCTGGAGACACGCCTCAGCCGTGCACCAAGTTACACTTTCGGTCTGTATTTGCTTCACAAGGTCTGACACTGTTACAGACAGCCCCACAGATTAAACTGCTACCAACAAAAAAACATGAAATCAAACACAGCAGACATGATAATAAACAAACAAGACTAAAAGTTTATTTCCATGACGGTCCTGGATTGTCCAAATCATGAGAATACAGGCTGCTGTGCTACAGCTAGAAAAGAGCGTATCATAAATATGGGAAATTCTAGCTCACCTTCTAAGTACATTTACCCATTAATTGCTTTGTTTTTCAAGTATAGCAAACATCCATAAGTGTTTGAGTAACACTCTCTTTGGCCTCCAGGTGGCACTGTGATTATGCTAAATACTCTGTTTGATATAAATATGAGACACACCACGTTTTGTGTTCTGCTCATACATGTGTCTAATGTGCTGCACCAGAAGTTTTATTTTGCATCATTTTAAGTTTTCTAATGCATAAAGTTTGGAAAACTGTCCTACATAAAAAGGGATTCTCTGCCCACTTTTATTATGTTCATGTGAGCATTTAACAGCTTAAACCTTGCATTAACCACAGACTCTGAAATGCAATTTTTTTAAACTTTGTGATGTTAACTTTATGTTTTGTCATGCAGTCGCATCATCAACAAGCACACAGACGAGAGCCTCGGCGACTGCTCCTTCCTCAACACCTGTTTCCACATGGACACCTGTAAGTACGTCCACTATGAGATCGACAGCCCCCCGGAGACCGAGGGGAACCTGCTGGGGCCCCAGGCGGGGACCACAGAGCTTGGTCTCCACGCAGGGGACGCCGACAGCAATGTGGGCAAACTCTTCCCTTCACAGGTGAGGAGGAGGATGGGGATGATTTAAAAGAAGCCTATGAGATTGGACGCATTCACGTGTCATAATGTCTTTTAAAATTGTAAAATAGTGTGATTTATGTGCTTTGGTACTCAGTGGATCTGCTGTGATATCCGCTACCTGGACGTGTCCATCCTGGGTAAGTTCGCCGTAGTGATGGCTGACCCTCCCTGGGACATCCACATGGAGCTGCCCTACGGTACTCTGACCGATGACGAGATGAGAAAACTGAACATCCCCATCCTGCAGGATGACGGCTTCCTCTTCCTCTGGGTCACTGGCAGGTAACTAAAAAAGTCCAGAAATCTGGCTCAGTTAGCAGGACAGCTGACCACTTTATGTCAACATTTAACTCATAGATGAATGTTTTATTTGATCTACAAATTAATGCCCCTCAGCCTGTTTAAGTTAAACTTCTAGAGAATAATGGCTGCTTTTTTTCCTAGGAAACGCTTTCCCTTAAGATGAGACTTCACTTAGTTTACTACAATTTAATATAAATGTTTTAAAGTCTAGTTTAGATAAATAGATCGATAGATAGAAGCTTGGGCAACAGACAGTCATTGACAGAATGAAAGACTGGGTAAAGAAATGGGGCATGTCGTCATTCAGCAAGGCTCTAAAGAAGTAGACTTTTAACTGGGAACAAGGTGTTTAAGTGAGCAGTGCATATATGCCCAACATTAACATGTGGCGGTGATGGGGAAAACCTGGTGGCTTAGTTTGCATTGGCTTAGCAAATAAATCTATCGAACAGGGAACTTGCACAATGCTTCTCTGTTCTCGTTAATATTACATCGACTGCACGGTGCCACATCTCTACAGTTTTACATTCACTCGTCATAAATGATGAGAAGCCCGGTCAGTGTTTGCGTACAGCTCTTCACTCAGCTTCAGCACGACAGGAAGCTGGCACTACTTTGTGCTGCTATTCAGGTTAATTATTTACCCAAAGACGGTAACTACATGTCTGACAACTGATATTTCCCCCAATCCTAAACGTTATTCTTAAAAATGGTATTCAGACTCAACGTTCTCTTCCTGTTTCAGGGCTATGGAGCTGGGCAGAGAGTGTCTCAGCCTTTGGGGGTAAGTTTTCCCTTTCTGTCACCCTCGTGTCATATTTTTCCCCTTATTTTTTAATCATTTAGCCTTTATCCTCCTCTCTCAGCTATGAGCGTGTGGATGAAATCATTTGGGTGAAAACCAACCAGCTCCAGAGAATCATCCGCACCGGCAGGACGGGTCATTGGCTGAACCACGGGAAGGAGCACTGCCTGGTAGGTTTGAACCAATCTCAGTGTTGTACTGTGTGGACGGTCCCGTTGGAGTTCGGGCTCGAGGAATTTAACCTTCAGCAACTTTTTGCTTTTGTCGTTCTTAACCGTCCAATAGCTGAAATAGCTGAACCTGTGTTGTCTCATTCTAAACGTGTTTGTCTTCAGGTTGGTGTAAAAGGAAACCCGCAGGGGTTCAACAGGGGTTTGGACTGTGATGTCATCGTGGCAGAGGTAAACAGCTGTAAATCCTCTGTTATACGTGGTGTCATTACCCATAATTCCTTCAGCCTGAGTCATGTCTGTGCGCTCTAAGGTCCGCTCCACGAGTCACAAGCCAGACGAGATCTACGGCATGATAGAGAGACTCTCACCCGGCACCAGGAAGATTGAGCTCTTTGGTCGACCCCACAATGTCCAGCCTAACTGGTAACATACCATCATGCTTTAATTTAGAGACCAGCGAGCTGCTCCACACACCTCACAATGTCTGTGTCATTTCCTGTCCAGGATAACTCTCGGGAACCAGCTGGACGGCATTCATCTGTTGGATCCCGAGGTCGTGGCTCGGTTTAAGAAACGTTATCCAGACGGCGTCATCTCCAAACCCAAAAACATCCAGTCATCATAACTGCTCACATGTCTGAAGAAGTTTGTTTTCAAACTGTTTTATTTTTTTTATACCTGTAAACATTTTTTTAATAAATATTGTCCACTAGATGCCCCGTCTCCATCTTGCCTGTGTACTTTTCATGGTTTCTCTGCACATTATCCATAATGATCGCATTGCCGGACCTCCACACGATACCATATTATTGCTATTTTTAATATTTTGAGATAAAACATGTATTGCAA